GAGAGAGAGAGAGAGAGAGAGAGAGGGAGAGAGAGAGAGATTTCGGGAATATTAATTCACGGCTGAGATATGTCATAATATTCTGGGAAAAAAATATAATATAGCTCTCAAACGTTTAAATTACAAAAAAGAATTTTACGAATAATGAGCAAATCCCACCCACGTGTTTCTTGTAAGCCTGACTTTAGCCTTGAGAGTTTACTTACCTTGCCTCTTGATTTACGAGTCAGTGGTTTTTGTCAAAAATGACACTCAAGGGCGGGAGCATATTTTTAGCTAAAACCTATGTATATAATAATAACAGTCGACGTAACAAAAACGTTCACATACATGTACATTACTTTACAGCACATTGTCAGACGACATTAAACGATGAAAATTTACATACAAGTTTAAGTCCCAAGTAAAACTGTTTCTGCTGTATAACAGTTTCTAAACAATAAGAATAGACACAACAGAATATACAGAGTATCAAAAAGGAAAGAACTACTAATTTTGACAAAGATATTTAATGTATTATTACCAATTGAAGCAATTCTAAACGATCTGTAAAAGTATTGTACCCAGCTTCTGGGTCAATGAACCCATCTCGATCAGGTTTTTCGTCCAGGTTCCGTGAAACTTTGAACCAATGCTTAGATGGCCCATTGTTATGCTTTTGGACATAAATGTAAATTGCGCGCGTCTTCTAGAATTCAGTGGGAATTTGTAGTTATTCAAATGACCGTTTTCCATGTTGTCGCGGGAGGAAATCGATTCCTTCACGAAGGGAACAATGAGGAATAATTGGCGTGATTTGACTTTGCATTTAGTGTTTTTTACATCGAAGCGAATATTTTCTTATCAAAATTCTTATCAAAATTCTTATCAAAAATTCTCATTTCCCTCTGTAGTCACAATTCAACTTGTTTACGGCTTAGGGTAGACCCCAGATTTAAGAAACGTGCACAAAATATACTTCTCCCTGTAGCACATCACACCCAGTTTTTGTAACATGCTTCCTTAACGTTGCATTCATTTGTACCACCTGCACTCATCTCGACCACCATCGACAAGAACTCTAAGAATTAGAATTTCGATTTTATTTCAAATTTCGAAAATTCAAAGAGTTCGCCTAAAACAGGGCCAGCTTTCTTTCCTCACTTCTCTTTTCACGCGAAAATAATAGAAACATTTGAAGCCGTTTTTGAGATAATAATTGTTTAAATATTACCAATGTTTCCCGTAAAAACTACTCATATTTTCGAAAAATTATACTGTCGTTCGAAAAATAATATATTAATATAAAAAATATCTTATTTCAAGAACTGTTTTTGATGAACAGATTTAATTATGAAAAAATATTTTGTAAATACAGTTGTTGGTAGACGGGGAAAGATTTCAACTTTTACACTTTTCCAAAATTCAGGGAGTTCAACAGAAATTCAACCCACACCAGTTCTTTAGACATCTTTGGCTCTATTAGAGTACGGACGATAATACAATACTTTATCTGTACTGTGTAAGCAGTAGGCCAGAACAATTATTGTTAACCCCGTACACTAGAACGATAAGACAAAAAAACTGATACAAAACAAGTTTCACACTGACACACACTGCAAGAGTTGTTCAGACTTAGAAGGCCGTGCGGGTACAGGGTAATTGTAAAGCAGTTTGTTTTACGCTATCTAGAATTTGTATTTATCCCCTATTTCTAAATAATATGTTTATTAAAAGTTATTTGAAAAGTTGAAATTGTTTTTCTCCAAGTTCTGAAAACCATTTCAAACTAGGGACGCTACAACAGCACGTACTTTCTAACATTGTAGAAATAAACTTTTGCAATTTTGCAACATTCGGAGAGTTGAACATAACGGAACCCATTCAATATTCATAAACGAACTTCCGAACTTCCCCTCAAAATGAAATTATCCGTTTCAAATTCACAGGGCTCTGATTTCGGTTACAGTGATCTGGGAATACCAAATCGTCTCAATGTATTAGGCCAACGTTTACAAACTGGAGAATAAATTTCGCCAGAGTAGCGTTCCCTTCCACGACAGGCGCACGAAGCATTGTGTGGGAAGGGGGGAGGGGGGCAGATGGCGGCGGCCGTCAGTTGCGAAAACCTTGTCAGTGGGCGTTTGCCGGAGTTACAGGCCGCATGGGGGGGGGGACCATCTACATCCGTTATTTGTCTTGAAGTTTGGGAAGAGTGGTTCCCTTTTGTAAATACTGTAACAATGGCGAAGTGTTTAGTGTGTTCGAAAGAACTGCAGTATGTTTAAAAGTCCAACCTACAGATGCATTACGTAGCTTTGCATTACGTGCACATGGATTACGAAGTTTTGTTACAATTAATTATTGTTTCTGAACCAACTAATTCTTTGTATTCTACATCACATTGTATAAAGTATTATTGTATATATTAAAACTAGATTGAAACTGGAAGTGGAATTACAGAATTGGTTGTGATAAAAGACTTGGCTATTGCTTTGAGTTATGTAATTATGTATGCTCTATTATACAACTCTTCATATTGTTTTTGTATCATAAACATTCTACATAATAATTACTATTTAAAACACAATTATCGATTTTTTCAAGCGTACCGTTCCCCTACTTCTGTACCATCAATAAAACACTACGCGCCCGCCGCCACGTCGGGCAGTTCCTTTGGTAAGCTGCTCGGTCCGGAGCAGGCGATCAAATTTCTGTAACGTCACAAAACATCGATTTGGAAAGCGCTTGTTTAGGAGCAAGTGTTCACCGCAGACGGGTAGACGGGATGACGGACAGACACAGATGGACAGACACAGGACAGAGACAGACAGACGGACAGATAGGCGAACAGACAAACGGACAGACAGATGGACACACAAATGGACGGACGGATAGACGATGAAAGGGCAGACAGACATGCAGACAGATGGAAAGACAGAAAGACGGACAGACGGACGAACTTATAGGTGGACACACTGACAAACAGCCAGATGGACAGACAGGCAGATGGAAAGTAAGGTAGATGGACAGTTAGACAGATGGACTGACAGATAAACAGAAAGATAGACTGACCTTTAGTATGCTTGTTATGATTGTAATAAGAGTAGCATTCTAATAATTTGATATGTTGTAAAGATTTAAGTTCGTTAAAGTATGATCTCCGTGATACATCAGATTACGCACGCCTCGTTATCTTTTCTCCTTCCTCGCATGAATATAAAAAATAAATGTATATATGTATGGTTTAATAAGATAATACAATTTGTTGTGTGGGGATATTGGATGATTTGGCTGGTTGCTCATGTTTCTTCATTTTGCATAATATAAATTAGAGTAATATTGATAAAATATTATAATTTTGTTTATTGGAAGAACTCTTGGTTCATTTTTATTTCAGTAGGTTAATACCGACATTTTGTAGTCAACGTGTTTTCCCTATGCCATCTACTTTTTCCCAGAAGTATTGCATAAGTTCATTCGTATCGAACACTACGTCTAAGGTATTTTTGAATATAGACAAATAGACTCATTACTACAAGAGGCAATTATGTATCATATTCGGATTTGAGTTGTTAAAATCTATCTTCCGTTCACAGCACATTTTTGAAGAACCAACGTACGTCTGTTGAATACCAATGTTTGTGTTGAGTTGGTGGCGTGATATATCACGCTATCGCAAATGAATGATACAATGACAAGTTATTCAAGAATTGATCAAAGGTTGGTACCCGCACATTGGTTACCACGCTTATTATTACAGGTTACCACGCTCACTGCACAAGGTTGGGCACTTGAACCATATCATTGACGGAACCTCCCACATGACTTATCTGCTACAGTGACCTCGCTGAGTAATCACCAGATTACAATAACGAATAGCTAATATCTTTGTATTTTAAACCCTAAGGTTGTTCGTTTTGAATGCAATTTGAGCTTTCTACTAAACCAAATTTCGTATTTTTTGTTTTCAATTAAGGTATTGGTCTTCACACATGTAACAGCTTGCTATTTTCACCAGTTTATAGCATTAACACTAAATTTTAATAAAACTGTAATATTACCATAATGATCGCTTATCTGATGTTATTTGTTCATTACATCATTTTCAAGACCGACAACAGAACAATCTACAGTGCAATCCCAGAATATCCTTACAGTATGCGGTTATACTAGTTGGTGAAGCTAAGCGAGCGTATTATGCTCAAAGATTGTCTATTTGAATGTACAAATGTCAGTGCGTTCATATAAATAAACGCAGTGTCAATGAATCGTCTGCCGTATGTGTCCTTTTACAAAAACGTTTCAATGATTGTAATTATAAGAGATGTATTATGTTTTTAAGTTAAGATGGGTAGCAGAATATTCTACAAGAATCTACTATAATATTCATGTACAGATCTAAGTAAATATACATTTCAATTACATTTTAACAAACATGTTTAAGAATAGGAACTGTATTGCAAACCTTCTTCGTTTCATCAGTTTTGGAGAATTTGAATGGCATGAAACAATATCTTTGAGATTTTGCGGTTTTCCGAATATCGCATAAGTAACACTTTCCGGATGTTCTATTCTACAGTGTTTTTTTTTTTTTTTTTTTTTTGTGCGATGTAATCGCAGAGGTTGAGCTAGTTACGATTGAAATTTCTAAAAGTAATATTTTTCGCCTTTTTGAAAAGCAAGAGAAATTACTGCAGAAAAATAATTATCGACAGAAGTTATCTTATACAGAATTTGGTACTTTTCCTACCTGTTCGTCAAAGCATATAATGGAGATCGCCTCCTATTAAAAGGCCATTTTTCAATCGAACAATTTATAAAATTTATGTAACTTTTTCCTTGAATAAGATTGTACTCCCCTCAACAGTGTTTGAAATCATGCGTTAATCTTCTAATGCAAAATTAGAATTGGATACAGAAAGAAGCGGCTAAAATTTGGGAACTAACCATTTGTTACTGCCAAAACACCATGATATCTCACAAAATACTACAGAACAATGGTATCTCACAATACTATGCCGAGTTAATTTTTATCTGGGAATCAGTCCTTCCCCTCCCCCTGGTTAATTCTCCGTTGCCTGCGCACTTCTTGTACACATAAGAGAACCAAACAGATTTCGAAAACGAAAATAATAGATGTTTATTGGGACAGCAGATTTAGGGTAAACTGGAATCTCCAGACTGTCTTCGTTGTCACAAATTATTTAAGAATGTTGCACTAATATTTTATATTAAATACATAATAATAATAATAATAATAATAATAATAATAATAATAATAATAGCTATAACAATAATAAATAAAGGAAGAAATAAATAAACTCAAAAGGTTAATTACGTCATAACACACAATTTCTCTCCTGAATCGTGAAAGTCACGAATATGTCATTTCTACAATCGATGGTCATATGATCGATAAACCAGAGTTACCTATGTATAACCTACTTCAAGCTTTCTCTACATTTTAACAAGAAAATATGGTAAATTTATATGATGAGAAATTAACAACTGACAACTACAATATTTCTTTTCAATTTTGTTGCAAGACAATTTCAAAAATGTTTCGGATTCTTTTTCGATTCACCAACGTACTAATAATCCACAAAAGGCCAATCCACGTTTTGTATGCACTACAGGCACTACAGGATATTTTTACCCCTCATGGGACTTCATCGCCTCGGACCGAAGGCCCTTGTGTTTGAAAGTCGACCTTGAGACAAATATATCTACTTAACGCCCTAGATACATAAATAACTATTACATATTTCCATATTATAAACGATAGTGAGAAAGTTTCAATGAAACATTTAAATATTGTATGTATTTTCAAACAAAACATATATTTCATTTTTTAATTAATCTAATATCAAGAAGACGTAAATAAATTAATTCGTTACGATTTACGTACATTTTATTTATTTTTAGCCTTTAGTTTTTGTAGATGACCCATAAGGGTAATTAGCCCCCTGCTTAAAGGATTATGAGCTGTTCAAGACGTTTCTCACACAATTGGTTTGGCAATCCTAATAATAAGCATGTTATTTATACCTTTATGGCTTTCATGTTTTTTTGCAAGTTTGTTTATATATTTTTAAATTTTTAATATTTAGATCTAAAAAATCAGAATTTTCTGTTAATATAAAGTTAGTTAGCGTTTATTTCATTTGTTTTAATTAAATGTTTTAAGAATAGTAAATATTTTTACTTTATATATACTTTCCATTTTGCCCTATTCAAAGCTAGTCGTGTCTATTTGGGTGTTTTTTAACTTTTAAAAACTATCATGCTATCTTTTGTATTTTTTATTATACACGAAAATAATATTCATAAAAAATAGAAAATCCAAACAATGTCATGAGACGGATGGAGAAGAGAAAGGGACCCAAGCCTCACTCATCCACAAACATTTTCTGTAATTCTCTACTAATTGTCATCTCACGACAAAAGATATTCGTTGTGAATGTACATTTAACTTGAACAAATTAACTTTGAGATAAATTATAATAATATATTAACGAAGTGTTCCGAAATATATTGCCTATCACTTTTCCCACGAAATACACATTTCTGTATCCGTCCCTGACCAGGTTGCTTAAGGAAAACTGAATGTGGAGTAGAAACCATTGACGATCCCAGTCGTCGCAAGAGCAAAAAGATCTGCACCGGCGAGAGGCCATTCAGTCGTAATACTTGGTGCGGGGGGGGGGGGGAGTGGCGTTGTAGCGAGCTGGCGTCAGTCAGGCTCGGTTCAGTCGACCCGGGTCCAGGCGGCGAAACGCGCAATGGGCGGCGGCTGTGGAGGAGGAGGAGGAGGGGGGAAGCGGGGAGGAGGAGGAGGAGGAGGTGGAGGAGGAGACGGAGGAGGAGGAGGGGGTGGAGGAAGAGGAGGAGAAGGAAGAGGAGAAGGAGGAGCGGAGGGGGAAGAGGGGAGGAGGAGGAGGAGGAGGAGGAGGTGGTGCGTTTTCGACGGTCGGCGCGTTACGGCAGTACCAGGTCACAAGGACACCTGCGCACGAGAATTTCCCCTGGCCAGTGCGCGCTGCAACGCCCAGGCACCGGCTTCTTCCGCACGCGGTCGCCCCAGGCTGCGGACGCACGAGCTGGACCAGGAGCTCGGAGCGGGGGGAAGGAGAGGAGGGGCGGGGCGAGGAGGAGTTGGGCGGGGAGGTCGGTGCGGAGCGGCGCACGCTGGACTGAACGAGGGGCAAACGCGCGCATGCGCAAAAAAAATCAATTAAAAAATGAAATAACAAAAAATTACGTTTTACTTATTATTTATGTTACTTGCTATTTATTTTACTTATTTATGTTTATTTATATAATTTCGGTTCCCAAAAACATTTTATAAGTCTTCTCTAGACGTCTTCTCTAGATAACGTCTTCTATGATACACATTTCGGAGGAATAAAATTTCTTGTGCACTAGCAATAAAAATAAAATGTTTAATCGATTTTAACATTTTTATATTGCATTTTTCAATTCATATAAATATTTATGTATGAATGTTTATCTTGTATGCTTTCTAAAATATATTTCAACTTTCAAAGAGATATTTTCTGTACGAATTGATAAAGTTGTAAATAACACTGTACTATAGTTGTATATACTATAGTTGTATATTGTCTCCCAACTGTAATTTGTTTAAAAAATATATATTTTGACGACCTATTAAAAGCCCCAAATATATCTGGAGATAATATGAAACTAGAATATAAAATTAAAAATAAATTTATTTCCATTGTGATTAGCCGTTCCGACACACCTCTTTCAAAATGGCGACCATTTAAGTTTATATTGCAGTGAGAAGCCCCTTTAACGTTTAGGAACTTTTGATGAAATGCAAATAAAAATTAGCTAAAAACTTATTTTATCATTACGTTTCATAATGTATTCCCAAATGATATTTTGTAGACATTTTATAGTTGCATTTTTTTAAAGGCATGTTACACGTATCCTGTGCGCATGTCTTTCGTTCTACTGCGAGTGACGATGGGACGCGGCGCGGCCGAGCAATCAGCAGAGAAAGCGGCGAGGCCGGCGGCGGGTGCTCCAGTTCGACCGCGGGCGGCAGCGCCGCGCTGCGGATCTCGCGAGGAAGGAAGCCGCGGCCGAAATCCTTGCCAGACGACTCGCTGCGTCCTCACAGCCACTCTGCGTTGGAGTTCGCACGTTGTTCGAGTCAATCTTCACATCAATTATGTCAATCTTCAATCTTCACATCTACTCGAATAGAATTGCAGGGCTCGCGAGCAGCTCGTTCTACTATGATTTTTTCATTGGAGGTTGCAGTGTGTTATTGTATCCCGCTGTCTTGATATTTTCTTATATATAATTGTCCATCTATGTCTCTGAATTCAAAAATAATTTGTATTTGTTCATTTACTATGTACATGTTAAAAATAATTAATTTCAAAAAATTAACAATTCGGGAACATAAAGTTACTAATAATATCAATCATGACCTTGGGGGCCTGAATTCTCCCCTGCAATGTGCCCCTGGCAATGCCTATAAGGAACATATAAAACAATTTTCTGTACAAATGTATATATCTGTACCCTTTGTTATCAACATTCTCTTTACAGGCACAAATCAAACGTTTAATGGCTGCGCAGGCTTTAATATCTCCACTTCCCCCAAATGTGTCATACGCCTGTATGATCTCAAACCCATCAATTGCGCCTCTCCGTCGCTGGTCTCCGGCAATAACGCCAGCACGCTTGCTTCCTGAGAGCGTGGTGTAGCATTTGATTTCTATTGCCAATATATTTTCCAATTATTAGTTGTGATGTCTTTCGGGTCTGTGATGTGTCGAGGTTGTGATGTCTTTTGGACATACTCTCAAGACTACGCCAATGAAATCTGATCTCCCAGCAGAAGTGACAATGTAATTATGCGAAATTTCTGATATCGTACATCCATGTTTCCACACCAGTTTTTACTCTGCGTCCTGGCATCCTGCGTCCTGTCATCCTTTCGAAAATTCTTGGTTGAGAAATTAAGTTGACTCCTTTCTGAAGATACTCTCTCTTATCCACACTGCTGTCTCTCTCGTATTTGAAGACTACGCCAATAAAACTGAACTCACGATAGCTCGTGGCTTGCAGAAATAACCACACGAAAGCTTTCTCTGCGTGTTGTTCAGATTTCTGTACGAATGTTAGTAAAAAATCTTCCTGTTGAAATAAATATACAGGTTATTTTTTAACGTGACTACACCTTCTTCTATGTAAGTATAAAAGAAGCCCCATTTGCTGTGATTTCAATGTTCTTTTAGGATTATTTTCTAAATTCGTCCATGTCCCCATTTTACAGCAATAAAAGGAATTTTTCCAAACTCATGAGTTGTAAGATGGACTACCTAGCGCAGTATTTTGTGGCCCGAAAATCTAAGCGCGGGAGGAATGCTTTTGGGTTCAAATTCATAGAAGTTTTCAGATTGCGAATGTTGTATGAAAGGCAATGTCCAACGATAATTTCAAATCTTCATTCATTATTTCATAAGGACTGATGTAAAGACGTAAACCAGCTGAAAGGTTAAAATATAAATCAATGTTGGCGCTATTCAGCATTACGTCTTATTTTCTGAGATCCCATTGTCCTCTCCTACTTTAGCTGCGTTTGAGAATCCAATACTTTCAGATCCATCATCGTTTGAAGCGAACGCTTCAACAAATTTTGAAGAGTAGTATTCAAGTCAAATCGATCTTCTGTAAAGCTCATGGTAATATTAACGAGCTTTTCGATAGAATTTTCATATTGCCTTTTGTACTTATCCAGGAGGGCTCATATTTCGAATGTGATTTAGTATCGTGTCAGCAAAAGGAATTTATCTGAACCTAACGTTTGCGAAATTCGGTCACGTGTTTTATTTTCAGCGGCCCGTTAGTCTCTCACACCCACTTTCTCCCCCTCGCTCTGTCTCTGTCTGTATCTCCCCCCCCCCTCTCTCTCTCTCTCTCTCTCCCTCTCTAAACTTGCGCTGAACCTGTTATTAATAATACGCCAATAAAATCATGTCTTTCAAATATTGTACTATACCTCTATCTTTTCGCATCTGTCGCAGTGGTTTGAAAATAACTGTAAAACAAATATGCATTCATACATTTTTATTAATTAAGACAAACTGAAGTAACCAGGCGTTGACCAGGTATTAATTGACCATTATTAGAAATAAAAAGGGGTGAACTCGTCTACAGTGCAGAATGGAAGTAATTTTATTTATATCCATGCCACGCCTCACTTCCTTGAGAAGAGGATTTCGTGTGAACACTGAATATTCAAACGTAGCACAGTGACCACATAACACGCGTGCAATTTAATTTTATGTAAAATTAACCCTCTCAATACCAAGGTATAAATGGACTTGTGCATTACCTAGCGGGACAGGGGCCTCCGGAGCCAGCTTCATTACTGCTGTTAACGCTTTTGATAAATTAATAAATTGACACAACAAATAATATACATGTGCATTCATTTCAACGAATAACATTATTCAAATTCTGACTCTGTGCGGGAAAAGATATTGACCTCCTTACTTTGGTATTTGTACTTTAGGACCAAACCTATTACATTTTATGTCAAATAAACGCGGAAGCATTTTCATAACATACTAATGTATTAAATTTATTTTATTAAAACAAAATGCTACAAATATTTCCATAATGTTTTCGGAATATTAAATTTCCAAGTCAATATTGTCTATTTTTTATCTGCAGCCAAGAAGCCTGGCGTGACTCAAATTACAACAAACACTTGCATATTGATAAATTGCACCATATATTGATCAAGAAGCACATATTAAACAGTAGGTTTACTAATGATGTTCAGCGTTCTAAAAACATTGACTTCTATAAAAACAACCATTGGTGTTTTTTGAGATCCCGATACCAAAATCTCTGTGATTCAAAGTGAAACGGGATTGCGGCAGTCAAAAGGCATTCCTCGCAATACTACGCATCCCATCACCTATTTCATCCTCATACTTCATCCCAATCCAATACATCGGACTAGGAATATTTCTTCCCAAACAAATACCTTTGCGATCAATTTGCTTCGGAGAATCCTTGCTTCAATGATCTGTGGTGCAAACACTCATTACATATCTCGTAATATATGTAGTCACTAACGAAGTGCCTTTTAACTCAATATTTTATTTTACATTAATTCGCAATGTTAATGTTTCATGTAAATTATTGAAATAACAGAATGAAGTGGAATTACAGATTCTTGGATTTTCCGTAATCTGTCTTATTGAGATGCATGAAATTAAAATTTTCATTACAGATTTTATTTCCATTAATCTAATAACAGAAGATAAAGTATCTCCGCCTTCCCTGATTAATATATGTTAACATCAATAGATCACGTGTGTGGATATTGTCCATTTAATATGCAGAGCGTCTACAGGTTTGTATGGTAAATACATATATTTCTTGTTGAGACGAACGTGAAACTACTTTCGTAAATCTTGCAAGGAGCTCTATTCCCGTGTCTAAACGAAAGCTCGAGCAAATGAACGGTGTAGCTCGCAAGACTCCGAGAAAGTGAGCAAAAAACTGGAATTCCGTCGACCGCCAATCCTAAAGAAGGCGCAACTTTCTCGCAACGCGGCCGGAAGGACTTTATTGCACCTCGAGAATGACGACTTGCGCATTTTTGTTGCTCGTCTACTGCCAATATCCTACTGCCTTCCTACCCTTAAAACAGTATATCACTCCGGTTTCCCTAGGAAAATGTATTCAGACGGGATACATAGGCATAGAGGATATAATAAATATCTATATTCAATCACTTGAAAAATACTGAATTATTTATGAAGTTAGAATTGGTTTTTGTCACGAAAGAAATGTTTATTAACATCTAATTCATAAACGAAAAACTATTTTAATTTTTTAAGTTACAATTTTTATTAGCATTTCAGAGGTGGCAAAGGAGCAATTTTGACTGACTTCTTATCAGCAAATTTATTCTTTCTTTATTTAAAATCGGTTGATAATAAAACGTTTGTGCATTCATTAAATAAACAGGCGTAACGAATGTACATATACGACTTTTACAAGTTTTGCCCTTCTTGAGGAATCAAAGCGATATTGAAAATTTTCCTTGAATTAATATTTTGGTGGCTGAAATTGCGTTGATATTCTATAAAATAATAATTATATCATAAAAATGAACAAATATAACACAATATTATTTTTACAAGAAACAAAACTTTGAGAAAACCAAGAATGTTCATATGTTGAAGCTTTCTAAATATTAAGTTATATAATCAACACTTTTTATCTTCAATAATCAATTTGTTTATTTCGGCATAACTTAACAGTTATGTCATTCCCTCATGTATGTACAGTTACATAAATCAGCTTATAATCATTCTTTTATGCATCTTATATTGAACTTCTCTTTCAAAATACCAGTATTTTGAACAAAGTGTATGTATGGATGACTTTTTCACCTTTTTCAAAAGTTCGTTAAAAGTGATAATAGTAACCATAAGAATATGTAGCAAAAAATGTGTCATATCAGTCTACTTATTACATTTTGACATTTATCTAATTATCACCGATCTTTATAAATGCTCTCGTACTTCCTTTCCTTCAAAGTACAGTGAATATATGTAAACGACTGCCCATGTTTCTCCACACTTAGAAAAATTTTAGAAAAAATTATTGCGTGTAAACGTATTTTAATCTAGGCTTTTGAATTTATGTAATACTTTCAATTTTTTCGCAAATGCCTTTGAGATAACGAAATAAACCCTTGGGTTTGCAATTCTAAAATGTTACTCTAACTTTCATTACATCACACAATTTTACCAGCAATTAAGCAACTGTAGCAATGGCGATTCTCTGCAAATTTCCCTTTTGTCAATTGTTTGTATTATTTTCAATAAACTTATGGAAACTTTTGTCAAGAAAACGAAGCGTTTTCTGACACTCGACGAGGAAATTAAAACCTACGGAAATTGTCATACTTTTCTTTTCTTAAAGATGTTGCTTCATCGTTGGATCAAAAACAGGGAAGACCTATTCAATATTTCTAGATCTTTCGAAAGCTTTTAACGTCATTTACCAAACATTTTGATTTCAAAATGAGTCATATAGAATTCGCGGTATTGCCCTAGATTAGAAATTCGAGTGCCATAAACATCAATCGCGAAGAGTGGAAATACAGTCCT